AAGGATCGCCGGAGCCCAGCAGGTCGAGGCTGCAGTGGCCGAAAGCAGCCACTGCACTCCAGTCTGGGCGACAGTGAGACTCCAATTAAAAAAAAAAAAAAAAAAAAAGAGGGTGATGTGGGATAAAGTGAGGGAAAGACTGAAAATTTCAAACCTCTGCCAAATCTTCTCTTCTGGAAAGAACATTCCAAGCAGAAGCAATTATTTGTAAAGGCACAAAAGTGAGAAGGTAGAATGAATATGCCAAGTAAGAAAATAGATGACTGCTTTGTTTGAAAAGACAGTAAAGCATCTTTGAAGAGGAAAAATGGTCAGCAGTTGGATAGGTTTCAGAGAGCAATTGCTCTACCTAATACAAGGAAGAAAACGGAATGTTTTCATAAAGCCTGAGGGAGAAGAGGCCAAAGCACATGCTGACATAAAGCCCATATCTTTATCTCTTATCTTCAGTCAATTGTGCTCCTCACACAAACAACTCATATGAGCAATTCTTGAGGAAAAGTCAAAAAGTGTCTGCAATTCCATGCTAGAGAACATAGGCAGCACTTCTAAGATGCCAAAGCAACTCACAAACTCTCCAAATTCTGTGGAAGTGACAGCTCGAAGCCAGAGAGAACTAAAAAAAACTTAAGCCACCCATAACCCCAAGAGAGATTGAAAGAGAGGAGCTGCACCATACGTGGGATGAGGTTAAAGATAATTTTATTGAATTTCAAAAGCCAGGATGTCTCAACTGACTTGTTGAGGGGTCAGTTTCAGCTGCTTTGCTGATTCGGTCATATGTGGAGCCTGTCTACTTTACAGGCTTTGACATTCATCCTCAGAATCCATTCAGGTGCTCTTGTTGACCCCATCATGATTCCTCCAATTCAGCTTCAGTTTTCTTGTTTGGCTTCCTTCCTAGTTCCCTATGTTCATCTAGCCTTTCATTCATTCATTTTTCTCTTCCACCAACAACTGTGGTACAGCTACTGTAAGCCAAGTCTCTGTACTGAGTGGGCTTTGAGGGATATAGTGACAAATAAGGGTGACAAATTCTTTCCCTCATGGAGTTCACCATTTGGAAAGAATTCAGAGTGGAACTTCTGTCTCTGCTGTCTGACACAAACATCCTAACCGTAGTGAGGAGCTTGTTACCTGTTTTCTTGCTTCAAGCCACTTTAGACCTTCAGCATAGCTTGGCCCTCATCCAGCTTCCATTACCAGGGGGTGGGTATTAGATGGGGTTCCTGAAAAAGGTGGAACTGATCTTTGATGAATTGCAAGAATTATCAAAACTGGAGGAAAATACAAGGAATATTATAGTTAAAAAGAAAGAAGGAAAAAGGAACCCGTGAGTAGACCCAGAGGAAGGCACAAATGGAGTATGTAGGGTAACAACAAATGATTTACAATTGGAGGAATAGATTCACCCCACCATTGACCATTTACATGAAGCCTGTCACCACCGAGCACACAATAAAAAACAAAAAACCATGAGTGTCTCTGTCTTGTTCACATCCACTTGGCATTCATTCTTCCCCTACATACCTGCCACTTCTTAATGCAACACCCACAGCTATCTTTTTGAGGATAAACTTCTCACTTCTTGTGTGGGTATCTTAGTCCATTTCGTGTCTCAATAACGAACTATTACAGACTGGGCCATTTTTTTTTTGTTTTTTTGGGTTTTGGGGTTTTTTTGAGTTGGAGTCTCACTCTGTCGCCCAGACTGGAGTGCAGTGGCCGTTCCCGGCCACCGCAGCCTCGACCTGCTGGGCTCCGGCGATCCTTCCGTCTCAGCCTTCCAAGTAGCTGGAACTACAGGCGCGCGCTACCACGCCCGGCTGATTTTTGATTTATTGTGGAGATGAGGTCTCGCTGCCCAGGCGGGTCTCGAACCCGCGGGCTCAGGCAATCCACTCACCTCAGCCTCCCAAAGGCGCGGGATTACAGGCTGAGCCACCAAGCCTGGCTGACTGGGCCATTTGTATAGAAAGTTTATTTGACTCACAATTCTGGAAGCTGGAAAGTCCAAGAGCATAATTCTGGCATCTGGAGAGGGTCTTTGTGCTTTGTCATCTATCCCATAGTGGAAGGTAGAAGGGCAAGAGACAGAGAAAGCTGAACTTGCTTTTATAACAACCCTTTCTCTCAATAACAAACTCACTCCCATGATAACCATATTCATACATTCAAGAGGACAGAGCCCTCATAGTTTAATCACCTCTTAATGGTCCCACCTCTTAATACCATCACAATGGTACATGAATTTCAACATGAACTTTGCAGGGGGCATTCAAGCTAAAGCAGAGGGCAACTATGAGGCAAGTTTTACATGCTCCCCCTCAGAGTCACAGTAGGATTGAGCCTCAATTGTCCATAGTAGTAACCTGCTCATCAATCTACTCCCTCTACTAGCTACCTTCTTCCCCTGTCCTATTTCCCTCACTCACTACCAACACTTTCTGGGATCACTTCCCAAATAAAGTACTTGAATCCAAATCTTTTTCTCATCACCTGCTACTGTGAGAACTCAACCTTTGCCGAGGTCTGCCTTCTCAACAATTTTTCAACACTCTGCTTCTTGTTCTTTTCCCTCAGGCCTCCTATCTTTGAGTTGGTACCTGGGATTTCAGTGTCAATAATTTGGTTCTCCATATCATATTGTACCTTCACTCTTAAGTTTAGTTCCAGGTAGCCTAGTGGAATGCTGGTAAATGTTCAATAACCTGCTCCTCAAAAAAAAAAAAAAGAAGAAGAAGAAGAGGAAGAGGAAGAAGAAGAAAGAAAAATAAGCACTGATCTGGAGCAGTCTGATTTGTGTCATGTAAATACTCCTACCATGGCCAACTTCAAACTACTAATGAGACATCACTGAACACAGAGATCAAAAAAAGAGACATAAAATTAACTCTTTTTTTTTTTTTTGAGTTGGAGTCTCACTCAGTCACCCAGACTGGAGTGCAGTGGCCGCTCCCGGCCACCGCAGCCTCGCCTCCTGGGCTCCGGCAATTCTTCCGCCTCAGCCTTCCGAGTAGCCGGAATTACAGGCATGCGCTACCACGCCCGGCTGATTTTTTGATTTATTGTAGAGATGAGGTCTCGCTGCCCAGGTGGGTCTCGAACCTGCGAGCTCAGGCAATCCACTCACCTCAGCCTCCCAAAGGCGCGGGATTACAGGCTGAGCCACCGAGCCCAGCTAAAATTATCTCTTGTAAGCTACTGAGAGCTAGCTTCAGTATACCACTGCTCACTACTCCCACCGAGAAAGAAGGATCGTCTCAAAGTTTGGAAAGGAATGTTGAAGTCAGATTGCTGAGGACCTTGAAAGCCAGATTAATGAGTTAAGAATTTAATCTGTAGTTTGAGGAAGATTATTAAAGTTTTGAAGCTTGGGCAAATAGGAGGACATATGTTATTATCTGCATTGTGTTTGGAAAACATTAACCTGAAACCGTCATATATGAAGTGTAGTGGGAAGGAAATGAGGGCAAAGAGATAAAGAGGCTATTATGCAATAACAAGGGCCTGAATACATACTGGAAATGTGGAACTAGAAAACAGGGAATGGATGCAAGAAAGATTTAAGGATTAGAATGTACCTGTCAGTGGCAGTAGTGGGAAACTGCCAGGAGAGGGGAGGTGGGATTGGCAGTTGAGGGAGACTGCCAGGGGAAGGAGGGGCACACCTTATCATCAAGGGTACCTGCATAATGAACATTTGTATACCTAACCCTGAATTGTACCCCACGTCTTTAAAATAAAAATTAAAAAATTTAAAAAAGA